TCTGGAGGCTCCCTCTGTTCCTCCTCTCCGCATCCAACTCCCCGACAGCTCCCGGGGTGGCTGCAAGGCTTGTCCTCAGTGCCCAGGGACCTTCTGCCCCCCCTCGGGGGGTTTTGGGGGGTCCCCCCGGGCCCTGCACCCCCAGCACGGCGCTGCCTCCATCCCACACGCGGCGGGGCCGGGGCCGGGCTGTTTCCCTTTGCGTCAAAATTAACTTCCAACCTGATGGAAAACCTTAATTTGCACTTCAAAGTGCTTTGCAGCAAATCCGCCCGAGCTGGCACTGGATTTTTCCGGGGCCCTGTTTGCGGCAGAGCCTGTTCCAGTGGATCCTGCCCGCCCCTCCCCGGGCTCTCCGGTGCTCCCCTGCCCAAAGGTGACGCTCCAAGAGCTGTTTTCCATCTCCAGGCCACGCACCAAAGACAAAATGCTGCTCCCTGGCAGGAATTCCGATGGAAACGGCCGTGCTTTGCTCACTGGAGCATCAGAGCAGCCCAGTGCCCGCCTGGCATCAGCCTCCCAAAACATTCCAGGCCTTGTGATGCATTTTCGGCCCCAGTGCAGCACCCAGGTCCTGCTCCAGTCGTGATTCCAGGCGGGAATCACCGGGCACCTCAGCATCCCGTGGGTGGTACCCACCAACACCAGCCCAGGGCGGGCAGGGGTCTGTCTGTGCCCCTGGTGATGCTCCAGGTCCTGGGTCACCACCACGCTCTCCCAGCACACCCAAGGCTCCATCCAGGCACTGGGCACAGTGCTGGGAAGGGGGATCTGGGATGGGAGCCCAGTGGGTGCTCCCAGCTCGAAGCTTTGCTCCCTTTGGGTCTCCGGGGGGGGAACAAGGGCCGGGTGAAGCCAAAGCCGGGTTTTGCCCCGACTCCTTTTCCCCTCTCCCGATGAGCCAGGAGTGATGGAGGCAAATGGCCGGGATCAGGATCGCTCCAGCAGCTCCCAGCTCCCCTGTGCTGCTGGATCCCCCCAGTCCCTCATCCCAGTTCCTCCGGTGGGGTGGGATAAGGCCTTTCCGGGGATCCTCCTGCCACCGGGGTCACGCAGAGCCACGTCCATGCCGTGGGTCTGTCCCTGCCGAGCCGTGGGCCCGTCCATCCAGGATCTGGGACCTGGCAGGGATCCCCCCGGCCCGGGGGGCTGCAGGGGGTCCTTCCCCCAGGGCCCCTTTGGAGCGGCAGTGGCAGCAAAAGGAGAGCAGCTATTAATAACCCTGCGCTGCACAGGGGAAAGATGTAATTCCATAATGGAAGCGGCTCCGAGAACAATTCAGGGAATAAAATGTTCGGGGGCTTTGGGAGGGGGGAGGGGGTAGAAGGGGAGCCCAGCCCCCACCGTGCGGGGCCGCGGCTCCGCGGTGCCCGTGACCCCCCCGGGGATGAAGGGGAGAAGCCCCCCCGGCCCCGGGACCACCTTTTTGGGGGGTCTCTCGAGTGCAGGAGGGGGCGGGGGGCAGGCGCTCCCCCCTCCCGGGTCTGGGGTCTCAGGGGGACGGGGGTCCGGGGCAGAGCGTGTGTCCCCCCCCGGGAGCCCCGCGGGGACCGGCCGTGCCCGGGGGGG